AAAATTTCCGATGTAAATCTGATCTACGGAAATTTGTTCTTAGAGATTCAATATCATCAGTAGATAAAAATGTAAAAAAAAATTACTAGTTAAAAATATTCGAGTTAAAAAAGCTTGAGAAAATTACAGTTATAACCTCACGTTATTTCTTCATAAATCCACCTTAAAGTAAAGAGGAAACAGAGAAGAAGCTCTCGCCGGCGGTTAAACTTCCGGCGCCGTATCGTCGTGTACTTTATCGGATGACGATGAGCATATTGGAGTTTCCGCCGCCTGCTTCTCCATCTCCGGCGTCTTCTACGCGGTCGTTGGCTTCTTCGTCTCCGGCGAGTTTATCATCGTCGATGAGGCTATGGAGACCAGCTGCTCAACGGAATCTTCGTAACCAGTGGTCAAAGCTCTCGACTTGTAGGCAACAATGGATCGCCGCTTGTTCTAGCGGAAGATCTCACGCTACTTCAGTCGTCAATTCGTATTTATCCCAAATGTGTGGAACCCTGATTTTATTTTTTGAATGGGTGCTTGATTTGATGAGTGATTGAATGAAAAAGATTGATTCTTCTTACTAGTTTGTGTTTCCATGGAAAATAGGTATATGCCAATGATGGAGTTTGGTGTGTTGAGTGACATGTTTGATATCAAGAACAAAGCATTGAAGAAACTGTTTAAGCAACAGGTGAGAAAAAAAAAATCTGCATTTCAAAATCTTCTATTCAGTCTCTCTGTTTTTCATTCACATATTGAGTCTTTTAATGTTCAGAGTTCCAATCGAATCAAGCTTTTATCGTCGTACAAGGAAATGGTGAGTGTGGCAGATGATAATTCTTATTCTGATCATCTCCAATTCAATTGTGAATTGGGAGATTTTATCCTGTTGTTATTTGGAATCTATAAACAAATCTGTTAGAAAACATACAGGTAGCTGTTGTTGCTGAGATGGTGAATGCAAGTAGATCTTTGAGATGTTATATGAAGCCGAGTAACGGGTCACTTATACAATTCTCTGGTTCTAAGGAAGATGCAAATGATGCTGGAGATTGCGGTGGCGTCCCTGTGTTTAATTTTTTGAATGTCTCTGCTTTTGGTAAGATCCAAATTAAGAAGTTCATTAGCTATTCTTTTTTTATGTTTGTTGTCTTTAAAGTTTGGTACTTGCAATGTTGATATGATCACACAGAGAAGATGGCCGACGAGTTTGTGGATATGTTCAAACGCGAAGTCATGCTGAAGGTATACTCTCCTCCATACTCTTTCTGCATATATCTTAGGTTCTAGTTTAGCTTCTGATTTACATCACTATTAACAGAGATTGCTCATAATGGAACTGGTCTCTTTAAGCTCTGAAGTTCCTCAACCGGTCAAGCTCAGTTGGTCAGTTGAGCTTTACAATGGGGAATTTGATGATCTTACCAAATGTTTTTTATATTCCATGGAAGTATCTGAGCCAATTCTGCCCAGAGTGAAAGAAGATAATCTTGGTATTTCTTCTATACCACATACCAACCAGCCAACCGCAGAAATTTTGCAGGTATGTGATTTGACTCGACACGAGAAAATCCTTCTGGTAACTTTACCTCGCGAGACTTCTAAAAGTTTTGTTTTTAATTTACAGATTTACTTGACAACTTGGCTTGCTCAGGTAAACATTGACATTCGTAGGTAAATATTAACAATTGGACCACTGTTGTTTCGGATTCCTGCCGCTCTGGGCACAAAATGAATTCTAATGAGCCCGTCTTGCGAATTTGTTACAGAGTGGATGAGATATTAGCATTGGTCGGGGAAGAAATTAGAGTCACTTTGTAACACTCTGAAGCAGAAGCTCAAAAGCATTCCCTAATGGTTACATTCCAACGACTTTGAAGCATGACTGATCCTACACCAAGTTCGGTGACTTGAGAGAGAGAGACCTTTAGAATCTTAGCTGTGTGAGAACATAATTATTGTCACGTACTGCTGCTATCCCTTGTTTAATGGAAGCCATAGGTGTAGTTACCTTGAGTGAGATTTCTGTTATGAGCCAATTTTCTTTACCAAGTATACAAATGGATTTTGACTTACAATGTTCGTGATGATGCATACAGTAATTCTACATATCTAGAAGGAAATCTCCAGCCTCTTAACAATGGAGGCCTTCACTGTTCTCATGATTCCGACCAATAAATTCATACCCACCCAAAACTAGAACGATTTGGTACAAGAGATATGAAATCAATGAATGGGCAAGATTGGCCAAAAACTGGATTATATGGATTCGTCATTAGTTAGAGAGCGAGACATTGTACCCTGTCTGGAATATTCTGAGGCATTGGAGCTATGGTAACATATCTTTGTGGGTTTAACCTAACTGAATTCACGGTCCGGTCCATAGATGAGGATGATGGGTGGAACCTCGCAAAACGATTTATCACTGCAAACTTCTCTAGATCCTGGACTTCCACTCTCAAGTCTGCAACTGTAGTTCCATTTTCTAGTCTGCAAGAAGAACCAGGTGTTCATGAGGTCAAGCCACCCATTTAAAACTGTAATCAACTACAAGAAAGAGCTATGGTTTTTACCCTGTAAAGTCAGTCTCTAGTTTTCGTGTTCTACTAATGAAATCTTCGGCAGCTTTAGAGATGTACTGGTCACTGATTTTTTCAGTTTTCGTTCTCTCAGACAACCTACACGAGCGTGGATTGATTTGTGTCAGTACATAACCCCAAACTCTAGTTAGTCTCCAGCGTTTCATGGATAAACAGAGAAAATTAACTTACGGGATTGAATTGTTCGGGGGCGAAAAGCTCTCGATTCTGTCAGTAGAAGTGGAGCTGCATGCATCTCCTAGTGCAGCTCTTGCAGCAGCATATGCAACAAACTCATAATTTGAACTAGCAACCAAAGATATCACCCTAGCAGGAGGAGGTCGAAACAGTTGTTGCATGAGTTGTGTTGTATATATAAGCCTTCTCTTTGATCTGATTGGTGGGACATCCTCAAGTGAAGTCTCAAATTCCACCTGTGAGAACATAAGCCATCAACGTATTCAACAACACTGTACAAAGAGACCAGCGAGAAGCAAAGGAAATCATCACGTCCAAAGAAAAAATGTAATAATGAAACTCACTTTTTCAGCAAATCGATTAGTCGCTCTGACCCAATAAACCTCGGCCTCACTGTAAAGAACATACAAAGTTTAATACGGTAATGGATATGAAAATATAAGGAATATTTGTGCTCATAAGCCAGCCACACACCCAAGAGTCTTAAGCCGCTGTGAACCTTGCATGACTTCTTTATTCCAAGATAGAAGTCCTGGTGTGGCGGTTTTGCGCTTCTTTGGTTTATCAACCTTCAGAAGTTGGTCAGTAGCTGTAGCACCATGAGGCAATAATTCAGTAGAGGGAGTCTCCGCTCCTGGTGCGGACCCTGACATTTGCTGCATATGCACAATGTAACCAGGATCGGCAGTATTTAGCTGCTCTGATAATTGATCAGACTGTGAACCTTRGACCGAGTTCCCAACAGTAGAAGATTGTTCTCTTATCTTCATGGGGGTGAATCTCCCTGAATCATTCCCAGGTGGCACCAGTCCATTCTTGAAAGTCCCATATTGACTGTACCAGGATGGAGCCATCTGAGGACTGATTTGTTGGCGATCTGCTTCAGCCGAGACTGCATGATTCTTATTTGAGAAACTCTGAGAAACAGTTTGGCCAAAACGCAGCATGGGGTTCGCTGATTCCTTGTGATACATTCGCTGATCTCTAACTAAACCATCAGATCTTGAAGGTGACTGTTGCTCCCCTTTTGGGGCTACCTTCTGAGGATCAATAGCACTATTCTCAAATTTCGTCACATTCATCTTGGGTAAATCACCCTCCCCACTTCCAGCCATATGCTCATCATGACGTAAGCTATCCTTTTGAAGGTTGTTCAAAGGAAGGGAGCGAGCAAAGGTTTGAAGGTTACTCGGCACCATTTTGGGGAACATCGAAGCAGCATCAGATGTTTGTTTTGCACCCATATCTTTACTCTGCAACTCATGCATATGCAACATGTCCCTCCCACTTCCATTTTGGGAGGATGTTCGGTTTGTCATCTCCCGCCCTGAGAAGCTCCCTTCTATGCTGTTGCTGGGCAATGGATGTGACCGTAAAATGTCTGGATGAGGATTAGAAGGCTGGTTCCAAAACTGATGTTGTGGTGCTGGAATACCGGCTCGTGTGTCAGACATCATGCCAGAAGAGGAACTTTGCTGAGACGAGCTGGATGCAACCAGAGGCTGAGAAGCAGATGTAGGACTTTTGTGGGCTGTAGGATTTTGAAGGTAATGCGTTTGTTGTGAATGTCCACGTTGATCAAAGTCGCTACATTCATCTCTTTCTTTCACTTGAGGGGTAGACAACTCAGAAGATGAATTGACTGATTGTCGATTGGCAACAGACATCAGTTGATTTTGGTGATGACCTCTGGAATAAGGGAAACCAGAGCTAATGTTGGTTTCTCCTGGGATACTCGCAAATGGTCCTTGATAAGGTGATTGCTGAGGGAAAGATTGATTAGATGCCCACGGAGCAAACCTTGATTGACTTGTTCCTCCTTTTTCAGGGGCAGTATGAAGTGAATTCAATGGCTGCAAAGAATTCCGAGAAAACTGAACGTTATCAGACGCAGGAGCTGGTTGAGATGGAGGCGCCAGCTGTAGACTAAACCCCTGAGATGCAGACGGCTGACTATGCCGATATTGACCACCATATTCTGCAGAAGTCTTTGCTTCAGGAATCACAGAAACATTTGATTCCAAGGAATGCTCCTCCGGTTGGTCCACCTTGTGAAGAAGCTCAAGCATAGTCTGCCTGCAAGCAATTGGGGAATTAGAGCTAGTTGATGACCAAAGTCAGAAATTACATCTCGATGAAAATTAATGAGAACATTGAGTTCACAAAAACTATCAGTTAGGCAACTCTATCAGTTAGTTGATAAACTATCTATAACAAGGTCACACTAAATAGATAACTTCACAAACGTGATTGAAAAGCAAACATAATTAACAAAACCTTTTTAACCCAAAGAATGAGTACCTTGACGAAGCATTCTTCACTTGATTAGTCCTATCAACACTTCTGTCGGCTGAAGCAGATGTACTAGGTGAATTTTCTGAACCCATAGCTTTAAAACCCTCATTTGTGCAATTCAAGTTGTTTTGTGAAATACGTTCCTGCCATAATTAAGCAAAAAGAATGTTCAGAGAGAATCAGATTTCTAAACCACTGCAAAATCGAGCAAAGGATACAAAATTTACCTTGTCAATTCTCATGTTCATAGCTGGCTGACCATGAGACTTTGACTGACCAAAATGTGAAACTTTTTCTCGACAAGGCTCCTGAGTGACATCAATATCACCCATGGGATGATACTGAAATTTGCGAGGTATCGATGGCCTTGTACCAACATTACCAAGTTGTGTTTCTTTTCCACCCGGAAACATAGACAAATTACGAGCATTTACCATTTCATTTGATCCAGTATTATATGACTCAAGAATCTGACTGCCATCTCTAGAATTCAGTTGAGGGATAACCTTCTCCACAGAGTTATAATTAACCAAATGCTGTTGGATATTTCCCTGGACATCCCTAGAATCATTTCCTGCATTGGCAATGCCAAAGTCATAGCTTGCCCTTTGCACTTGTACATTTTGAGTGAAATGATTCTTCTGTTCCTTCATAGCAGCTAAGTTTGGGTTTGAAGCAGCCTTCCAGATACCAAGTCTATCTTCAATGCCTTCATTCCTTTGAACAGAACACGAATTATTCTGCCCATCGATACCAGAACTGGAAGAATAAAAAATATTTCCAGCCATTTGACTACGTTGACCCATTGGCTCCTCCAAAAGGGCATGATCTGAAACTTTATTTCCTCTGTCTTGCAAATCACCGTGGACTCTCTTACTTAGTGTATTTGACACCTTGAGACCCGGATCCTGGGACTTATTACCAATATGAGAATTTGCATGTGGGACAGTGTTGTTGTTAGCCCATGCAGATTGCTGTTTACTACCCCATTCACGTACGCCTGCGTCATCACTGGATGTTTCTGCTACAGCGGATTGCATAAGAGCACTCCAACTCCCACTTTGCAAAGAGGGGCATGCATCAAAAAGCTCAGAACTACTGGACATAAGATTTCCTGTCAAGCTCATATCAGTGCTGTTTCCAAATGCATCCCACAGATTGTCATCCGAACCAAACAAAATCTTTTCTTCTGTTGGATCTAATGTTGTCGACTTCTGCAAAGCATTTATATTTTCAGGCGCTTTCAMAAATGAMTTTTRWGACGGACCAGAATTCTCCATCTGACCAAATTTCTCCTGCACTGAAATGTTCCTCTCACGGGAATCATCTTGCTGTAACCTTTCAAAATTGGTCCTATTATTTGAACTTGGAACTGATGTATTGGAGAACAATAGTTTCTCCTGGTATGCGGATCTAGGGAGCATATGACTATCCTGTGCATCACCTTGATTCAGAAATGAAGTTGGCTGATTGGTGATAGAGGAGCTTCTGTTRGCAGAACCATGCTGCGGCGTTAACCTGTTCATCTGGACGTTAGAAAAGGCATTTTGAGGTGCATTTGTCCCACTAACAGGCATACCGTACAAGGAAGGTTCAAACTGTTGCGCCATTAAATTCGCCTGCCCTTGCTCAGGGGTAATCATGAGCCCACTGGATGAACCTTGACCAACTGGCGAGATGCCACGATGCATCCAGTTTGTATTTCCTGTCATAGGATCAGGCTGCCAACCATTACTAGATGCATCCTGAAGAGGGATGCCATTAATCAAAGGATGTGATTGATTATCACTTGAGCGGTTTCCATTTACTGCATTCGAATTCAAAGAGTTGATATTTCTGGCCTCTAGTTGTTGCTTTTGATATTCATGCATTTGCTTAACCATAACTTGCTGCTTTAGTAGTTGCATATCATTGAATGTCATCTGCTGCCTTGGAAAAGGCTGGAGCATGCCAGGGAGCTGGGAGTTTAATTGTTGTTGACCACCAAAGAAATCATAATTAACTGGAGATTCTCCCATCTCAAATCTCARAMGAATTTTCTGAAGGCCCGGGGAAAATCCTCTCGCTGATAATCTATCCCTACTTGATTCTGCATCCACTCCCGAAAAATTTGCCTCATTTGGCGATGCCTGCAACACACGGTTCCCATGCATGTAACCATTTGTGGGTTGCTGGWGGTCTTGCAATAGATTTCTAGAGTATTCGGACCTTATAGGCTGCTGAGTAAAATTTAAACCATGCTGTGGATTTGAAGAGTGCCCTCTCTCAGGATCAACTGGAATAKGCAAGAAAGCTAAGTTTAAAACCTAACTACTAAAGCAACATCCAARATAATAACTTAGAAGCTARGAATGAAACATATATAAAGAGCATAAGTTGTTGAATTCCACGTCGTAAGGWGACAAAATCCATACCAGGTTGTTGTGTGCTATAATTCTTCAGATTGGCAATAAGGGATGGGTCTATCTGCCTCTGGTTGGCGACCAGACCATTACTAAAACTGGACCAGCTTCCGTCAACAACCTGGGATTGATGCTGTTCTTGGGGTAGGCCCTCCTGTCCAAAGAAATTGTGGATCCTCTCTCCAAATTCGTTTCCAGGCATAGATTCACCACCTATAAGATTATTTCCAAATATCTGGACCTCGAAAAGAAACAGAAAAGAGTTCAAGACTGTGTCTCCTTTAAGTTCGACTGTAAAAAAAACAAACATTTCGACACCTTTTTTCTTGAGAACTCATGAGCTAACTTCCTCCAACTGACATGCTCAGAATACTAAAAAAATCCTGTTAGAACAAACGAAACAGATACTGCACATTTAAAGTTGAACACACAACGTGAAACAAAAACCAATGGATACTACTGAGTATAAAAACCATCAGGCAAGATGGAAGAGACTTTAAAACTTGAGAATTGATGCAACAACTACACGGATCAACATTGTTTCCCTTAAATTGAAAACCGTATACCGACCTCTAAGGACCACTAAGCCAAAGCCTAATCTCTAGTAAACTTGTGAAATTCTAACACATTCAGTGTGTTGCAGCTAATCCAGTCAACTCGAGAGCCCATTTACAGTAAATGTCATCAAGTTCCTCAAACTAAAAACCAGCTAAACTCATATAAACCCTCTCTAGCAGCTGAAAATTAAGCTAATTTAGGAAAAATTTACACCATTTCTTCGAAATCTCGCGAACCCAACTCGAGATCAAAATTGCCACACCACAATTTCACCCCAAATCGAAGCTCTGGTTAACATGAACATTGCCATAACCCAGAATTCAACCTCAAACAAGAACCTCCCACACTTTTAATCCTACCTTTGAACAAAAGCAAAATTAGGGTTTCCACAAGGAGAAAGAGAGATGTAATACTTACACTTGTGCCACGTTTAGCCGTAGAACAAATGGAAGCCTGAAAAGCTTCTCTTCTCCGACCTCAATAGCTAAGAATACGTTAGGGTTTTCGAATCCAGGAATTAACAAAATCAGGTGA